AAGTAGAATTAAAATCAAATTACATAAATAAATACAATACAATACATTATTGCTGGATATGACCTGTCTGTCAGGATGGCAAAGGGTATCAGGTAGCCTCCAGTTTAGCCGGGTAGAATTCTTGTTGCATAAGTGAAAGTTTGCTTATAGGACATTAGATTTTCTCCTTAAATCTCAGTTTTAAAATTGAGTTGTGAACACTGGTTACATAGAGAACGGTTTTTGCTATACTCTTATTCATGTGTCCCTCCCCCATAATATCCAGGAAAACAATATACCTGTATTGGAGAGCAATCTTTGGTCAAGGTGTGGATGATGCTCAATAGCACTAGTTCTTGATAAAGGACAAGCCAAGTATTATATTGCCATAAAGTATTACTTGATTAAAACTGGCAGAGACTAGACTTCATTTCCTTTCTTTTTAATTACAGATTTTGTGGATTATTCCACAGAAAGCTCTCAGATGGGTTTTGGTGGTATTTGCTCTATGTCTTTCAGGATCTGTTTTAGTGATGACATTTTGGCCTGCTGTTAGAGATGATAACAGAAGAATTGCAGTGGCTACAATTGTGACAGTTGTATTTCTCCATGCCTTGCTTGCTGTTGGTTGTTTGGTATGAGAGTTCCTGTTTCCTTGCTCTTGGAATATAATTGTCCTTCAATAAGTTTACATGTACAGTTAGCACTAGAAATGCTAAAACCTTTATTTGGGGAAATCACTGGCAAGTGTCACAGCACAATATATATATATATATATATATATATATATATATATATATATATATATATATATATGTTACTTGAATATTTCTAGCAGAGGAAATTTTAATAATAGATATCTGACTTCACACTAGAAGCCTATAATTTATTAACCTAACAGCTTTTTGATAAGTGACCAATCTAGAAATAGATGATAAAACATTGTCCTGGGCATACTTCAATCCAGTGGCCCACTCAGTTTCTTGTTTAAGTTTTTTGGCTTGTTCCCCTGGACATTGTAATTTTGATAACTTTCAGATACATGTTGACGTCATCTTCTATTTTTGTTCCATAGCTTGTATATTACTTGTTTTCCAACAGCTACCATTTATATAAGTACTAATTTGGTCATCTTGGAAAAATCAAACCTCTTTGCTACCCACATAAGCAGCATATTCTGTGTTTAAAAAATACAGGGTGTAAAGGAAGTTTATATGTGAGGTTCACAATTCCTGTACTCTCGTGTAATTCAGGCATACTTTTTTGATGCCCCTGAACTGGAGGTCTTCATACCAGCTACTATACTACCACATAATGGAACACTAGCAGTAATAAAGGCTCATTAACTAAGGTAAGATATTGCCCTATCTTTATTGCTATTCCTTTTGTGCTGCTGGGCTGGCTGTGGGATTTAATATCGTGTAATGTTCTTGAGTGGGTATTCCAGCAACATTACTACATGAAATGCTTTCTTCATTATAATATGATGCTCGGGGTTACTGAGGAATGATTTATTTAAATTAGGAGGCCTTGATCCATTTGCAGATACAGCAGTGGCCCAAAATAGACGGTCCAAATAAAGTAGCTGTTTAAATGATCCATGCCCCCCAAAGTGTCCAGAAGCCGCAGCAAGGCCACAGAAAGCCAGGAAAAGATGGCCTAAAAAGGAGTCAATCTAGATTGACTCTTAGCCGGTGTGGCTTGGGACTGTGGTGGTGACCTGCTTCGAGAGCAGGCCATGCAGTTGCTCAGTCCCGGCCCAATCAAGACCTTAGCAGCCTTTGGCTGCTCCTTCATGGCCATCTGCTTCACCCCAGTGAGTGGTTAGATACTAAGATTGGTTGGTAAATCAAGTGTGGAGAATTCTTAACTTGAATTTTTTGAGAGTCTATTAGCCCATGGTGAATAATTTTTTACACAACACAACAAAATTGCTATCTAATTTCTGCCTTTCCACTTCTACTAAGAAGCATAAGACTAAGGGCAGAATACTGTACAAATTTTGTATGCAGGACAGAGCCAGGGATACAGACTCTCAAAATCTGTAGTATCTGCAGTTTTAATTATCAGGTATCTTAACAGGCCCACTCTTCTCTGCAGCCGTCTTAGCTTAATTATATAATTAAGTGGGGAGGTGTGAGGAAGAAGAGCAGGTGAAGGCAGATGGAAAAGAGACAGAATGCAAGTGTGGAGAGAGGAGAGGGGGAAGCTGAGAGAGAGAAAGAAATGGATGAAAACTTTGAGGAAAACTTTCATTTAAATTTAGCACTGTGTAATACATTAAGAATTGCAAAGGGGTTCATCACATCTCACCTGAAATATCATAGTGTATACCATGTACAGTATATTCTTTTTGTGAGCTGCCTTGGGTCCCACTCTGGGAGAAAGGTGGCATATAAATTAAATAAATAAATAAATAAAATGATATACAATAGAAATCAATCCAGAATATAATCAGATCGGAGGAGGGTTGTTACTGAAGAGACCGCACTCCCACCCACCAGCAAAACTGCAAACTTTCCTTTCATAGAGGCCCATGGAAGGGAGGCAACTGTCTTTCACCCTAAAATACCTTTCTGAAAAGACCCAAAATATTACATAGTAATAGAAAACAGTCCAGAACATAATTAGTAGAAGAGAAATTATGAATAGGGTTACAACGTACCCACCATACTGCTTACAAAGTTTCCTGGCTTGTTAAGAGCCTTGGTCTCCTGGTAAGCAAACAAATCACTCCCTCTCATCCCCATTTTCTCCCAGGACTCTTTTTGTTCTTCATAATTATTCTACTTCACAAACCCAACTATCTGACATGAACTACATAAAGCTCGCTCTGTCCCCTCCCTGCTTTTTAAAAGAAATTACACAGTTTAGTTTGCCTAACAATGGAGCCTTGTATGCAAAGAGATCATGTAGAACTGAGAGAAAGAAAGAAGTTGGTAACATAGCTTAAGTCTACTTCCTCAATAGATGTAACTGTATGAAATCTGTGCTACCAACTTCTCTCCTTCTCTCATTAGTGTCAAAGATGTTATAAGATCCCTTTGCATACTGATCCAGACTAGCACTACTATTTCTTTGAACAGGGCGTTCAAATATTTCTTCTTTGAGGCACCAGGTTTTCCTGTTTTATTGAATGTGATAGAAGGAGAGGCAACTACCCTAATGAATTCTAACAACTTAGGGCCTTTGCAGACTGCCAGAAATAGTGCAAATTGAGTCCACTTTAAAGGTTAGGGTTAGGGCTAGGGAATCATGGGAACTGTATTTTATTGTGGCACCAGAGCTCTCTGACAGAGAAGGCTCAATATCTCGGGGGGGGGGGGAAACAATTCCCATGATTCCCTAGCACTAACCCTAACCCTTAAAGTGGACTCAATTTGCACTATTTCTGGCAGTCTGCAAAGGCCCTTAATTCACTAAACCATATTTTTATTCTTGGGGAATTAATGCTCAGGGGAGTGTTAATTGTTGAATACAAAAAGCTAGGCAAAATCATTGGGAAAAATTAGTGAAGTAATAACAAGTTGATTAATTAGTTAATAGACAACTGCAAGGATACTATAAAAGTGAAAGCCAGTGCTTTTCAAAATATGATCCATGAACCAGCACTAGTGAAGAAACCATTAACTGCTGGTCCTAGAGAGTTTTTAAGAAAGAGAATTTTTAAGAAAGAATGGAACAATTGGAATCAATTAGTACAAATATGGTATTGATCCTGGACACAGCAGGAAAAAGACTATTGGTTCCCTACATCAGATTGCTTAAGAAGCACTGATGCAGGCAATCTAAAGCCTTCTGTCTAATTTCATGCAGCTCTCTACAAGCAACCCACTCACCAGCCTGCAGTCCCTAACAGATTACCCTAAGTGTTCACTGTTGTAGAAATTGATCCACTAAGTTTTCTGTTATTTCAAATATCCCTACTATCTTAATACTGGTTGTCTGAATTTTCTCCCCAGCTATGTCTGTCTTCATCTGTGCAATATCACTTTACTGGGGCTTTCCTATGCTGAATAAAAGAAAAGCAACCAAAAAATATGAAGGAAGCATCACTGAAACATCTTGAACTTACAGTATATCACACCTGAATTACCAGCGAGTAAGGGACTTTAGTTGAAATTTCACTCTTGAAGCAAAAGGTGAAACAGATTTCAATTAAGTAGAGACAATTTCACTTGAAGATTTTAATGTACCTAATTTATGTTTTTTTAAAAAAAAATCTATAACCTGCATTATTTTAGAGTTTGCCATAGAATAAAGAATAATTTGAAGTTTTATCATTTCATCATTATGCTTCTAACTGTTTCTTTCAAGAAGCCTGAATATTTTACTTCTCCTATAACTTAATATGGGCATCTGCAGAATTTTCAGGGAGAGGGAGGTGAAGTGTATATGTACAAAACATGTAAATCATCAAAAATACATAAAAAAATAATTACATGTTGTGAGGGAGTTCTTCAAGTTGCTTTGCTATTCTGTCTTTACATGTTAATTATTGTAAAAGTCTTTTGTCAATCACTATTAAATGGGGGTCCTTAAACCAAAAGATATACCATATATACTCATGTATAAGTCAAGAAATTTAGGTCAAAAAATTGACCCAAAAACCCAGGTTGACATATACAGTACTTTGACCATAGTTTCTCCCCAGCCAGGATACCTCTGCATGGGACAGCCCAGCTGGGGAGAGGCTGGGGAAGATGACTGATCGCCCTGCAGCCTCTTCCCATCTGGACTTCCTCTGCAACTTATCCCTTGACTTATCCATGGTTCATATAGAAACCCAGAGTTTTGGCTACAAAAGTTGACCTTGACTTATACACGAGGTCGACTTAATAGTCAAGTATATGTGGTAAGCATAACTGGCAATAGATATTGTTGTGTGCCATCAAGTCATTTCTGACTTATGATAACCCTATTACAGAGTTTTCTTGGCAAAAACTGTTCGGGGGGGTTGCCAGTGCCTTCCTCTGAGGCTGAGAGAATATGAGTTGTCCAAGTCACCCAGCAGGTTTCCATGCCCAAGCGGGGATTTGAACTCTGTTTGCCAGAGCTGTAGTCCAGTGGGCAAACCACTAAACCACACTGGCCCTGGGAATAAATGATATAGAGGACTTATTCAGTCAAAACTATGAGACTTACCGTAATTCTTCACTCCGACCATGTCCTTAAATCAAGTCCAGTAAAATGAAACTTAACATTTAACAGTTTCATCACAATATATGTTGTTTTGTTTATTTCAACACCTGTTTAGTGATTGCTGAATGTACAGTTGGATTTAGTATACTCCAGATTTTTTAAAATTGCTACAAAATTAAAAAATTGAAGTATGAACAAATTAATTTTCATGTTAAGAACTCCACTAACCAACTCAAATCATCTTGTAGGTCTGAAATATTGAGATATTAAGCATAACTATTTAAAATCACTGGATGGTATAATGGATTTGGGTGACTGATGCATTTGGAGTTAAAAGTGCTGCATGGTTGTCGGGAGGATAAAAAATGGAGCATTTTTCTTAGACGTTAAAAAGGCTGCACAGTTGTCCTTTCACATTTGTGGCTTTGACTTTTGCGGATTTGATTATTTGTGGTTTTGATTAATATGTTATCTCTAAGAATCTCTAGATCTTCCAGCACAACTCTGCCAGAAGTTGACCATAGAGTTGTGCAGGAGAACCTAGAAGTTCCTAAAGAAAATACTTCTCTAGGCATTTGTAGGTCCGCCAACATGATTCTATAATCGATTTCTGGCAGATGCTGACCATAGAGTTGCACTGGAGGACCTGGAGATTCCTAGAGAGGTGTTCTCTCAGGTAAAAAGAGTAGTGTTGGGTTTTTTATTTGCGTTTTTTTCACATTCACAGGGGTCGGTCCTTTACCCCCTAACCCCAGCAAATGTGATTTTAAAAACCTAAGAAATCAAGTGGGACCTACTTCCATGAAAGGTGTTTAAGTCAATGTATGAAACAATATGGATGGCAAATCTAGTAGTTAGGCTGCAAAGATTCCTTTGGATTCTGATCCCAGAGCAAACAGTGCAGACCTTGATTTTTGGAAACGCTGTATGTGGTTCGATCAGTATTCCACTTAAGGCTTTAAGAGTACTTCAGAACAAACAATTGGTGGCTTGCTACCTCATATGACCCAGTAGAAGAAATTGCTGCATGTGGTAGTTAAACAGGTTTAGCAATAATTAATCTGCCCTGTCTTGTTCTTCCCTTTATTTTAGCTGTACCCTGGAGTTGTGTTTTGCACAACTTACCAGCTTTTCATTCAGGCAGTATGTTCAGAGCCAAGAGATATGTGCAAAAGGTCTGGATTCTTTTGCAAGTGTGCCTGTTTACTGCTATTGGTAAAACTCTTATGATCTTTTTCCCAGCTTCTGTCAAGCAATATATATTGAAACAGGGGGAAAAGAGTAGCATAGGGAGGAACCCTAAGTTTGCCTACGAAAACTGGGGTCCAACTTTCTTCAGTTTCCAGTACTTACTCTTTGTCTTAAAAGTCAAGTGGAAGAGGCTGGAAGATGAAGCATTTCAAGGCTTTCCTGCGCCCAACACTGCTGTGGTAGATTTTGAAGGGAAAATTCATCACATCCTGGACTTCATGCAAGGTAAATTAAAATGACAAGGGAGACTTTTGAGAATTTGATATTCATTAGCACATAGTCTGAAGTGGTTTGAGATCCACTTGAGAACAGCTGCTGATTTTCAACCAGCATGATTTCAACCATGATTTCACAAACCATGATTTCTCAATTTAGAGCCAAAATGAATTAAAATCACTGTGAACTTTTGGAAACCATTATAAATTATATCCTCTGGGTGGAGTATCATAACCTAATTTTTACGTATATATGATGAAGTAGGCAAAATAACTTTAATAACAACATGCTGGCTTTGCCTGCTTCAGTCTATTCTTATAAAATACTGTCAGATCTCAGGGGAAAGCAAGAGGCAAACATTTAAATCTGACAGCAGCACAATCTCATAAGTATTCAAGTACAAATGTTACTTATTCCCAGGTAAGTTTTAAAAGGGTAACAGCCTGAACCTCAGATGTATTCATTAACCATATAAGCCAGTCTCAAATCTCTACAGAGCAGATGTACTGTTTGTTTAAGTTCTAGGTAGTATAAAAATAGTGCTGGGAAAAATAAACGCATATTGCACTTTGTCCTCTTTTCCAGCACACTCATAAATCATTAAACTATAGTTCTCAGTAAGTAAAAATACACTGTCTTTAAAATATACAAAAACTATCACACACATGCAGGCATACAATTGGCATTGTATAATTAAGCATATTCAGATAACTGTCATAGATGCATGGAATAACATATATTCAGAAGAAGAAAAATCATGATAGAGCTTGATAAATGAGGGGAATACTGTATATGTAGTGAATCTTGATTCACCTAGACTTTTGACAAGGTTCTTCATGATAGCCTTTTTCTCATTCTGGAGCTCAAGGTGGCTTACAAAAGTTAAAACATATACAGTTAAACATTTTACATAATACAAAAATTAAAAATACAATTGAACTATGAAATTAAAAGCATAACAGTTAAGAATATAAAAATCAAGTACATGAAAGGCTCTTCCTCCCTGAGTAGTCCACCTTCAGAGGACTACCTAAAGAAAAAGATCTTCACCTTGCCTATGAAAGTATAGCAAGGAGGCTGTCAGTTTAACTTCTCTAGAAAGAGCATTGAAGTAGCCACCAAAAAGGCCCTTTCTCATGTTCCCACAAGATGTTCCTGTGAGTATGGTGGGGCAAAGAAAAGGGACTCCCCAGAGGATCACAGAACATGAGTAGCCTCATGTAGGGAGATACAATTCTTAAGTATTTATACCCTGTTCTTCAGCCAAAGGCTATCAGAGCAGCTTACAAGTGGATTAATGATGGTTCCCTGCCCTCAGGCTTACAATCTAAAAAAACAAGGCACAAAAGGAGAAGGGGATGGTGGATTTGTAACTAGTTGAGTAACCAAATTTGTTGACTGACAAAGTGCTCACCATCATGGCAAGAAGTGATTCGTGAGACGCCACAGGGTTCTTTCCTGGTCCCAGTGTTATTCAACCTCTTTATAAATGTCTTGATGATGGGACAGAGAGCATGCTTATCAAATTGGCTGATAACACCTAATTAGGAGGGGTAGATAATATCCAAGGACAGAATCAGGATTGAAAATGACTTTAACAGGTTGGAAATCTGGGCCAACACTTAACACAATTAGCTCTGGGAGACTAGTGTTCAAATCCCTGCTTGGCCATGGAAACCCATTGGGTGACGTTGGGCGCTCAGCCTCAAGAGGAAGGCAATGGCAAACCTTCACTATACAAATATTGCAAAGAAAACTCCCATGGTAGGTTTGCCTTTGAGTCTTTGCAAGCTGAAATGTCTTCAAGGCACACAGTAACAACAAAATGTAAGGTATTATATTTAGGCAGGAAAAATTAAATGCATAAAAATAGGATGGGTGACACCCAGCTTGAGAACAGCACATGTAAAAAGAATCTACCATAGCTCTCCAAAGTTTAAAAAGGCTCAAAAACCTTCTACGAAAGAGAGTCCACCAGCTTACAAAACAGTTTCTTCCATTTTCAAACAGTTCCTACAGTAAAGAAGCTCTTCCTAATGATTAGGTAGAATCTCTTTTCTTGTAACTTGAATGAAATGGTTTGTGTTCTAGTCTCTGGAGCAGCAAAAACAAAACAAAAAGCCACCAATCTTATACAGAACATGCCTTAAAAAAATTACCGTATTTTCCGGTGTATAAGACCCGCGTATAAGACGACCCCCCCATTTTCCCAGTCAAAATATAGAGTTTTAGCACCTCTATCCCCATTATCCTTATATCCGGCGTATAATACGACCCCCCCCCCACTTTAGCCACAGATTTTGCAGGTAAAAAAGTAGTCTTATACGCAGGAAAATAAGGTACTCTCTTACATCACCTCTCCATCTTTTCTCCACACTAAACATAACCAATCCCCCATGCTATTTTTCCTAGGACTTGGTTACCTTTGATCAGTTTGGCTGCAGTCCTCTGGACACATTCCAGCTTGTGAATATCCTTTTTTGAATGGTGGTATTCAAAACTGGATGCAGTAATCTAGGTCTGATCAAAACAATAAATACTACTCCCCTTGATCTGGGCTACTAAAACTCAGTTGTTTCCTGAAGTTGTGTGATGGGAATTTCAAGATAAACAAAAGGAAGTAATTTACATGGTGCCTACTTATTGGAGGTAGTATGCCTTTGAATATCAGTTCCTAAGGGACACAAATGAGAGGATGCTATTTTTGTCATGCTTATTGGTTTCTCACAGTCATCTGTCTTGACACTAAGAAGAAAATGCTGGATGGGACAATGATTTGATCCAACATGTCTCATCTTATGTTCTTGACAGACAAAAGCAAAGGAACAGGTTTGCCTCTATTAATATAATAAAACTAGTGGTATCACTAGTGGTGTTGATGTGAGACAATATTAAGTTATTGAATTTATGGTCAGAAACAAGGAAATTGAACCTTAATACAAGTAATCTTAAACATTTTAATTGCAGGCATTTACAATGTTCATATCATTTGTTTAAGGTCAAGGCTTGTTGCAGTTACTTCTTTGGAATGTGTGTGTTATTTCCTCTGGAATCTATTCATAGTTAAAACAAACGTCTCTCCGAAATGTTGAATGCATTGCAGGCAAACATCCAAGTTCTTCATGTTCACTGATGAAATGGATAAGTGGAAACCATGTTTCCCAAAATGGGATCAACATGTCCCATTTCTTGTATGACCTGTTGCAGGAGTTAATTTTTCCACCAGGGCAATGTGCTATACTTTGCTCCACCAGATCCTGGTGCTCTGATTTTTACATCTTTCCACTAGATTAAATACATTGTAGCTATTTGTTATAAAATAGATTTTGTGTGGGTTAAAGTTTTTTTTTAAGAGTAAATAAAGTACCGTATTTTTCGCCATATAATACGCAATTTTTCTTCCCCAAACGGGGGTGGGGAAGTTGGTGCATCTTATAAGGTGAATATACAGTC